TTATCTGCTGTCAGATGTTATACGTTTTGTGTTTTTCGTATTAAGAAAGCGCTGGTCAGATTGGTATGTGAAGTTCAATATATTCAAAGTCAAGATTAAAGTGCAATTTTATTAGAATACTTTTGAAATAATAAACATGTTGCTCCGGGAAATACAAAAACAAACATACAAACTTGACGCATTTGCTGATTGATAGTGGTTGCTTTGTTTTTTCCCATACGACGCTTCACTGTGAGCGTCTCTGCAGTTTTTGTGTTATCATCAAATTTTAACAGTTAAGTCATGTTGACAATATAATGTTGATATAAGGGTGTATCAACACCATTTTAAAAACAATGAAAGAAGGTCACATAGGGCGTCCATTAAATATATTTTCCATTATGCATTACAATTTCAAACCTTGTTTTTCATTAACTCGTAGGAAAAGCATGTATTTTATATTCGGTTAGATGCAAAATATCAAATTGTTTATTTTTGCGACTTACGTCCTTTTGAAAAGTTATGCTTGAATTGACAGATAATTGGATCACCTATGTGATGGACTTCTACCACCGGAGCAGGCGGTCTGGAGTGCTATTCATAGTAGGTCTTAACAACCACTACCAACACTACACGACTTCTCTACACGGTAAGCAAAGAGTACCCAACGGAAAGTTCGCATTTACCTACTTTTGACTAGTTTGTCTCCTAATGTTCTAATGTTGTCAAAAACGGAGGAGCAAAACCACCCAACAGGGGTAGTAAAGTGTGGGAACCCAATGTTGAGTATAATGATATTTACCTATTTTTGGGTACAACTAACTTACTTTTGGGTAGAAGGCTTGTGGAAAATTCCATACGAAATGCACACAAGTAAATGACAACTACTTTGACCAACAGTACACAACCAGTAATTAGTTGTGTAGTATATCCCGTGTCTTTAGTTTAGTGCATGTTGTATTACTCCATCACTATTGAGAAATGATGAAGTATTCGGTTTTGATACAGTTGTCATTCTTGCCTTCATCGCAAAGAATCGATTCTAATTGAAAGGTCCCGCTATTTATACCCTTCGGAGTTGGAACACCCTCCAAAGGCGCCCCCCTTTGTCAGTCAATTGGGTTCCTTAACAACAAAAACAAGCTATGACACCGATAATGAACTTGCATCAGAACCCTAGTCTTAACCACTTCAAACTAGGGAACAACAATTAGAAGATTAGGAATCACATAGGTGAAGACTAACTAACTCATTTTTTCCTTTTTTCAAGATCATCCTCGGTCCAGGCAACCCGAGGACTTATCACTATCAACAATGCATAAAAAGTAACAAGGACTAAGATGTGTTCCTTTGATTACTGAAAAATCCTGTTCCCCTAGTTTGAAGAAGTCAGAAATAGGAATCGGTGGTAGATCTTACATCCCGTTACGTACCACGAAAAGGTGATCTACCCACGTTACGGGGGAAACTTTTGGCTTCCTGCACTATAGTGCCGAGATGAGTGCAAATAACTTACTTTTGGGTACTTTTTTATTACCGTGTAGGCTTTTCGGTTATAAAAAATCTGACCATTCAGCCGATAAAAAAGAGTCTAATTTTACAATTTAGGAGACACTCCATGAAAGCCTCCTTAGGCGATTACTTCACGACATGGAGGAGCACAGTTTTCCATGAATATGTATTGCGCATTGAGTCGGAGGCAAAGCGGGATCCATCGTCTTTTTGGACCTACGTGAAGAAACTTAGGCGGAATGGCGGTATACCACTCGATGTGTCCTATAAAGAAGCTCGTGCTGACTCCGCGGAAGAAGCTTCTGATCTCTTCGCAAAATTCTTCAAGGATGTTTTTTCGACACCCCTCCCGCTCATTCTCCGGATGATCCTCGTGACTGGATGAGCAGCATAGCTCATTACAACTTGCATTTGCCGCAGTTGGATGTATCTGTTGAAGAGGTGATGAAAGTTCTTTCATCTGTAGATCCTTCTAAAGGCCCTGGTCTAGACTGTTTGCCGCCATCGTTCATTAAGAAATTTTCTGCATGCCTCGCTTCACCTGTGTCGATTATCTACAATCGTTCGCTAGTTAGTGGTGTTTTCCCCACAATGTGGAAGGTTGCGTCCATCACACCTATTCACAAAGCTGGAAACATCCACAACGTTGAAAATTATCGCGGAATTTCGATTCTAAGCTGCCTCCCAAAAGCTCTGGAGAAGATCGTATATGAGGTCGTATATCAAGCGGTTAGGCCAATAATTACCGAACATCAGCACGGCTTCGTGAGGAAACGCTCTACAACAACCAACTTAATGGCTGTTTGTCAACTCGCTGATCAACTCCATTGAAAAACGACGACAAGTTGATGCGATCTACGTGGACTTCAGTAAGGCGTTCGATAGGGTTCCACATGTGCTTGCAGTGGACAAAATGAGGTGTATGGGATTACCTAATTGGGCCACGAAGTGGCTACAGTCTTACTTAACTGACCACTCAGCCTATGTGAGCATTAACGTTGTTAATTCGCCTAGTTTCGAGATACCCTCTGGTGTTCCCCAAGGTAGCCATTTGGGGCCTTTAATTTTCATCCAGTTCGTGAACGATCTGTGTAGTCGAATGTGTTCTTCGAAACCTATGTTCGCCGCTGACTTAAAGATCTTTCGTACAATTAAGTCAAGACTTGACTGTTGCGCACTCCAGAAAGATATTGATTCCCTTTTGCGCTGGTGTACATTGAACGGTATGCAGGTTAATGTCACAAAATGCTGCGCAATATCTTTTAGCCGTTCACGCGAGCCCTTACGACATGACTATAGGATAGGACTCAGCAGTTTGCTCTTCGTTTCTTCAGTTAAGGGTTTGGGTGTTATCATCGACTCTAAAGTCAGATTCAATGAGCACATCTCCATGATAACTGCTAAAGCATTCGCCACATTAGGTTTCTTGAAACGAAACACAAACGCATTCCAGGACATCTACGCGCTGAAATCACTATACTGTGTTCTCGTCCGCAGCCTTCTAGAGTATGCTGTTGTTGTGTGGGCACCCTTTCACGCTACTCAAGCTAACAGAATCGAAGCCATTCAGCGAAACTTCGTAAGATACGCTTTACGTGTTCTGCCCTGGAACGATTCGGTAAATTTACCGCCTTACGAAGAACGAGGCTGATTGACCTGGACACGTTGGCAGCAAGGAGGAAACTACTTCAGCGACTCTTCGTGTTTGGATTGCTTGACGGTGACGTGGATTGCAACTCTCTTGTGAACCAAATCTACGTCAATGCTCTTCAAAGAGTTCTACGTAGTTACACGCTTCTGTGGCAACCTACCCATCGGACCAACTATGGATTCAACGAACCGTGGACTTTGTGCTGTCGTGTGTTTAATGAAACGTTTGATGTATATGATTTTAACATTAGTAAGTCTACTTACAGACATAGAATTCGACACCTAACCTAGAAAATATCTGTACAACATTATGTTGAAGATTTAATTAAATAAATAAAGACATAGGGTAGGTCTACCAGTTATAGTTATACGTTCCTATTATGGTGTGTTTCAATTATGGCCTATGGAATTCCCATAGGTCATAATTAGAACACACCATAATAGGAACGTATAGCCATAACTGATTCATCTACCCTACATACATAAGATCTACAATTTCGAAAAATGTGGCACAACGACTCTCGCATGATTTCTATGGCGACTTTAAGCGATTGGCTCAGGATTCTGCTGCCCAACATTAGTAACAAGTAAGTAACAGTATACATTCGTTATTCTAAACGGAAAGAAGGAGGTTCAGGATTTGTGGCAATTTACTTAGGGTAAATGGGCAAGACGAGTCATATGATTGATTTAGTTTAATGTCAGCATCAACAGCCTCAATGCTGGTTTGAAAAAGTAAACCATCGTTGAGTTTAGGTTGCGGTGAACCTGTTGATTTTGACAAACAAATAAATAAATAAATAAATGGACTAGCTTGCTACATGACCCATGCTGCTCCACCTTACTCTATAAATGTATGAGAAATTCAAAAATGCATTACGACACATTCTTAGATAACATAGTATATGTTTGCCTAATTGCGGACCCCTCCTTCCTCCTTGTAGAGTATTTACCTTTTAAACGCCCAAGAACTTCTACGAACTTTATTATGTGGTTGTCCTTAGGCGGAACCTTAGGCAACCATTCCTCCTAAGAGCTTTTCAAAATCAGTTTTATATTAATGAATAGTAGCTTTGTTTAAATAACCTGAATTACAATGCAAAATTTTCATCCTACGTTAAAAACAAATATCAGGAAGTATCGTGCACTTTCTAGCACTTGCAACCGAGGACATGCAGCATATTCCGTCGTTCTAGCATTCATTTGCGTTTTTGGCACCCACCCTAGACGTTTGTTCATTCTTGGCGCGCCCGGGACAAACCGTTCAAGTTCAAGGACACGCAGTTGAAAAGCGAGATGCCAAGCATTTTCTCGTCAATCAATGCAGCAAGCACGTGACGATCAATGGATGGATGGATGGATCCGACAGTTCTACAAATTTGTGGAAATTTCGAGTTGTACTCAATGTGCACTTTGCAGCAGGTTAAACACCGCGTTGTCATATCACTCACCACGAGCGCCGTCTTGCGACGATGGACAGCATCGACGAACGGATAATGACTGGTAGTTATCCGTACTCTTTTGTAGGTAAGTACACAACGTTTATATTTAAATCTGTATCAACCGGTACGCGCGCGCGCCATCAGCGGTAAATAACACCATTGTAGTGGGTCGGCAATAATTTGTTGAAAGCATACGATTATGGTAAATTGTCTGATGACTTCTTGATTTGTACAAGACCTATTGGCTATTTTTAAATGTCACTTTGCTCTTGCTTTGGTGTTCAATTTTTTTTTAAATACCTACATGCTTCTTTGTATAAGTAGATTAGCGGTTTTATTGTTTGCTTTCCAATTTGAATATTTCTACTACCATTACTACACATATATCTAGGTACATGCCAACTTATCTGGGACGATGAGGTCGTGTGGTGAAATAGTTTCGGATATATGGTTTTGGTCACTAAAGAAAAATGCGCAGTTCAGTCCAAGATCTCAGTTCGAACGGACAGCGGAGAAATTCTTAAGAGTTTAGAAGAATAAATTTTATTTAAGTGACCAATATGGGCAAAGGCAAAGGCGGTGGCGGAGGCGGTGCTGGTGGCAACCCAGGAGGCAATGTAATTATCATAGTTGTATGAAAGGAATCAAACGCCCACCCGCTGAGAGGGAAGGGGTTTGGTTCCACCCGTCGGATTTCGGAATATACTTTATTTGGACTTGGTTTCAGCAAAAAGGTGGAGGAGGCAAATCGAAAGGTGGAAATGAAAATAAAAGTGCTGCTGGAGGTAAGGGACCAGAAAAAGGAGGAAAAAAGGGTGGCAATAAAAAATAGCAGCGGAGATCTGGTGAGCTTCAACCCCTTTCCCGGAGAGCATCCTCAACAGATGGCCTTTCGGAAGAGATAAATTGGACTGTGAAATTTTTTGGCTACGGTTTTGAGTCGGACCAAATTCTTACTTTATAAGTATTCCTTTTTCTGTGTTTAAATATTGTGTGTATTATTTTTAAGACGCATTAAAATTAGGCGAAGTTGAAGAAAGTTGAAGACGAAAAAGTATTAAACGCAACAATTGATGAATAACACAAGTGCCTTATTGCTATTTTAGTAGGTATGTCTATCTGAACCAATCCTTATCGAGCCCGAAGAAAGCTGCTGCACCTTTGGCGTAGTTTTGCGCCGTTACCGTTGAAGAGGAAACCGTCTCTCGCGTTCTGCTAGCGGAAGGTTCTTTGGATGGTGGCTTTGAAGGCTGCAAATGGATGATGAAAAAGGGTAAGAATCTGAACTGTTTCACTTATAAATAGACTCGAATTAGTCAATGCTGCACACAGCACCACTTATAATGGGATTTGTTGAATGATCTCATCGAAATGATGTTTTAAAGTATCGTGCAATAATATTGGCTCATTCACTTGTTTATACACATTAAAAATTAGAACAATTTAAAAAATTTTAGTAGTTGAGACTCTCTTCAGTGTGTTAAATACTACATTTAACAGAGATTTACCGTATAATTGCTGAAACTCCATTAATAGCACATTTTTTTTAATTGCAACCACCAAGAACCAAGAACTTACTACCACTTGTTTACATCCATGTGAGCGGTAAATGAAGGCCCAATCTCGATTTAGGGTTTCATTCTCCGTTTAGTCTACAAATAATCTTAAAATAGGCATTACGACCACTGTTGCCAGTATTCCTGATTTATCTGGATTTTCCAGATTTTCAGTCGTCTAGCCAGATCACGTTTATATCCAGATTTTTAAATATGTTCCAGATTTTCCCAGATTTTTAAAATGTGTTGCTTTATAAATATCACTGCAATTAACGGACCCTCTAAACAAAAAATATAAAGTCAAACTTACTACTTTAATTACTAAAGGCCATCAACGTTGGACATTATTGGAATTGTTACAACATGTTTGCAATGGGTTGCAGAATCATGAAAATTGAGACATTTTCTAAACATTATTGGCTGTAAAATATCTTTAATTTTTTAAAAATATCGAGTCAGGTTTTTTTTTTTTAGATTTTGGCTAAATTTTTTTTTCAATCCTGGATTTCCTAATTTTGGAATTTAGAGAAATCGAAAACTGTTCAGGATTGAAAACAATAAATTGAGCTTTGGAAAATAAGCAAGGCTTTTGAATCTAGACAACCCTCGAGCCAACCACCAGGACTTTGAAGTATGTCGTGATATTTTTTAGGATAATTAATTAGATTTTTAAATAGAGTTCTAAAGTACCTGTGAATATTGAGTTACCTTAGCAGGCTGCAATACTTTAGAATTCCGAATTGCTCTAGATTTTAGAATTGTAAGGTAATTCTGAAAATAGTTTACAGTGAAGTGTAAGTATGCAGTCTGTGCAACCTTTGATTGAAGTGAAGACGGTATAAATTGTCTTTTGCAAACTCTGATGACAATTGAATGGAGATTTTGTGAAAAAAGGAAATAGTTAGAATTCGGAAGAGACATCATAGAAAATTCTTAAGATTAAACTTAAAAGGAGAATGCTGATACGAATCGTGACAATAATTTCAATGGAATTCTGTCCAATGTTTCTATGGAGATTAATTTTTATCAAATTTTAAGAAATCTGGCAATTAATGGGAGACTTTCAAGGCCTTTTTGGCAAAGTACTTGAGTACTTAGGAAATACTGAAGAGGATTTCAAAACAATTCTGATCTTACCTACAAAGCAGTTCAAAGGATAAGTCTGAGAAGAATGTGACAGTCATTCTGAAGAGCGTACCAAGGAAATTATTAAGAATATTCTAAGGGAATTTCATAGAGAAATATTGAGACAAAATTATGCCAATTCTTGGACATTATTACCAGTTTGAGGGAATTGTGGAATCCAGAGAGCGATTTATAAGAGATTACAAGAAATGATGCTAAGCACTCTTAGAATGTTATAAGTTTGGATATTATCAAGATTAGATAAGGGGAATCCAGAATAGAAGTATGATGAAATTCTAGTATGATTAAAATTGAACTCTGTAAATGAAGTAAATTCAGATTAACAAAAAATTTCATGATGGGGACCAGGACCCAGGAAAAATATAAATTCCATAATTTAGAATCATTTCATGATCCTGAGACTTCAAAAATGACGCTTTCAGACTTTCATTTTAGTTATATAATAATATTATTCTTTGGCATAACATTATTTGCAATGGTCATGTGGAGTTATCCGTAGTTTAGGTAAACTGTGTGTGAGTACCACGATGTTAGGCTTTGATTCTCACTTCAGCCAGAAAAATTTTAGTTTAAAATAAAATTGCCTACTGGTCTACCGAGTGTTGTGAGTTGTATGATGTCAAGAATGAAATATATAAAAATATTTTTTGCAGTATTTTACCAAAAATTTAAATCAATTTTGAAATGCTGCGTAATGAAAAATTAAATTTTTGGGAACACTGTGTCAATACTTTTCTTAAATTTTGGATGATTTTAGCAATGTTAACAAGTTGGCTTTATATGTTTTTTTAAACACGGATTTCATAAACATTCTGGTAGACTTTGAATAAATTCCAGATGATCATACTGACCGATTTTTACCTGGGACGTGACTTGACAATCGGGTAGCGATTTCGAGCCAATTTCTGATTGGTCGATTTGACAGTAGCAATCGTGGAATAAAAAGGACAGAGGGATCGCATCAACCTGGATGGCAGTGATGCCGGAATCAATGTTGACGTCAATGGCGTTGTTAATTAGTTATATTTGCGAAAGGAAAGTTGAAAAATCGAGTGCACTGCGTGTTTTAATCGATGGATATTGTGGTTTGTTTATAATTGATTTTATTGTGTTGAGCAAAAATTATGTACAAGCGCTAGACTACGGTAGAAACTACGAATAAAATCCAAATTAAAATAGAAAAAAAAATTACATTCCTGGCATCATTGGTCAACTCTGTTAAACACCACGCACAACTTTCTGAAGGGCATTCTTCAAGAAGAGTGAGAAGCTCGATTGTCAAGTCCCGTCCCAGATTTTTACGGGAGATTGACACATCACTTTGATTTCAATAGCATTATGTTAAGATCCAGATTTTTCCAGATTTTATATTTTGACTGGTCCAGATTTTTTTGAAAATGACCTGGCAACGCTGATTACGACCAATATGTCATAGGAAAGGCGAGTGTGAATTTAAAATCTTATTTCTCAACAACTTGCCGTCCATTGCATGTTAGATAACTGAAAAAAGTAGAAATTTTCAAAATTCAACTACGACATGAGCAAAGTCCATCCCGAGATCCATCCCGAACAAAATTCAGGATCAAAATGACAGCAAGTCGGAATCAAATTTTGATATCAACATCAAACTGAAATCAAAATGTGATAACAAATTTTGTTTTAATTTTGCTATACATTTTCTTTTCAAAAATATGTTGTTGTAGTTTTGTTTTCATTGCCTTAGCAGAGCATCAAATTGAATACTCGTTTTGTCGGTAACAGGAAAAATGTACATCAAATTGAGTATTCAATCTGCTCTCACTGATAGCAGAATTAGTTTTCAATGCGATGTCACAGGATGATTTTTTGCTCTCAATTTTTTTTTTTTTCCTTTATTAGAGAGATTTTTAGCCTAAGGCTAGTTCATCTCTTTTAAAAATAACTGTCTCAATTTTTATATTTAATCGTTAAAACAACCAACAAGACACCAACCTGACTATGCATATTATCAGCTACATCAACTTCAAATTTAGTTTTCTATTTGATCTCAGACTTTGCTCGGGATATCAGTCACATGTGCGTTTCCGTCAGTTTTGAGTTAACCAATTGAGGTTTACTGTCACATTGTATGATATTATCATTAGTTATTAGTGACAAAAATAAAACATGTTAGAGTGTCCCATCATGCAAAATAACAGTAATACTATCAGAGATTAATTCACAATACTACCCATAAAAGCACAACTGTCCCATGCCATATGAATAGGAAAACACACCGAGATGGGACAGCTATGCCTTTATGGACAGTATTAGGGGTGTTGCGGATAAAATGGACGGACGGAGTAAAACGGGCAGGTACTTGTTTATCACTGTTCTGAAAAATAAACAAAACATGTGACGCTTTCATTAAAATGCGTTCTGAGCAGTGATGCAACATATTATGACACTCACGCGAGAGTCGTCAACACATCCCATCTTATTCTGCGCCGCGAGTGAGGTGAGGTGACTCGCTGTCACTAGTGAGGTGACAATAGATTTTTTTTTTTTTCTCCCTTTTTATGGCACAGACCTGTTGGTCCATATTAGCCAGGCGTATCAAGTGATAGTTGGTTGTCAATTGACGTATACGGTATTTATGTTATGTTTTGGTTAACTTCTGCCAGAAATTTTCAAGCAAAGATGAACAGTATGTCTTGGAAAGGAGTGCAAAATAAAAGATTTAAATTTAAGGAAATGTTAAAGTCAAAACAATTAAAAATTCGCGATCGGTTTACTCAAACATTGGTTCCAACCTCTTTTATAAAATCGGCTATTTGAAGGTATTCATCGATATTTTTATTTTTTAGGATGCTGATGAATTTGGATTTGTCTGCTAATACAGGATAGTTATTTCTGATCAAGTTTCGATTTGGACATTCATAAGGGATATGCAGCAAATTTTCCTGGACTGCACAGATTTCACAATTTTCAGTTCTTATTAAATTCCACTTATATAGCCTGTCTTTAGTTGCTGTGTGAAATGTTCTTATTCTTCCCATTGTAATTGTTTGTGTCGTAGTCATTTCCATTTTATGGTACCATGGTTTCATTGTTATGTTATCCATTATTTGATAATGTTCTTTTCCCTTTTCATTTGATAGTTCTTTGTATTCCTCGTTCCATTCTGACAGTAATTCATTTTTAAAACTGATTAGTGAGTCCCCTATACTTAGAGGATAGTCTTCAATTCTAGCTTTGGTAATTCCTAGTTTCGCTGCTTTATCAGCTCTGTCATTTCCTGTTATATTTGTATGACCCGGAATCCATTGGATAACCACCTTTTGAAAGTTATTGTAGTGAACGAGAGTATAAAATTTCTGTACTAGGTAATTTTCAAAACTATTATTTATTAGGGCTATACAGCCGCTTTGTGAGTCAGTTAGAATAACTACTTTAAATTGTTCAATAGTGATAGCATATTCTAGTCCTTCAATAATACCTACTAGTTCTGCATTCATTATTGTAAAATTAGAATTTAGTTTATTACTGAAGGATATTTTATTTTCATGATCATAAATTCCATAGCCCAC